AGAACTTCCAGAGTTATCAAACACGGAATTGCACAGAAACCAGTTTCAACTATACACAGAACTTCCAACAGTTTAATAAAATTAATTTTAAACTATTCATAAACAAAAACACTGACTGGTTTGGAAGGGGCTTATTTTTCTGACTTGTTAATAGTAATTCTATTAAACTACGTCAAAAGCATCATCTGCACCAGTCAGTTTAAATACAATGTCAAAACTTAAGCAGTGTTTTCTGTTAAGAAAACAGTAAGTCAACAATAAAGAACACTTTCTATTCTACAGTACCAGTCTGAGTGTACTCAAAGTGACAAAATACAGCTATGTTTAATGGAAACAGCTTCTAATAGTGTTACCTTGAAAGTACAATATTGTTTTGATGCAGCACATACATAACAGCAAGCACGCAATGTTTCATGACAACATCCTAATTAGTAGTTGGGAATGTTTGGCCACGTGACTTTTATGCCTAAAATTCAATCATAAGAATCAAAGCCATTTATAGCCTGTACTACTAGTTCATAACTTTTGATACCCCAAAATACCCTCCTGACTTTGAAAACTGCTGCTCTAGACTGCCGCGCTCCTGTAGCAGACTCCTGCATTTTTCAAGTGATAGTAAAATTTTTCAAGAGACAGTACAGGCCTCTGTACTTCAGAGTACACATCCTGAAAACAGTTTTATCTGTTAAGAACCTCTTACCAAGACCTCTTGCCAAGAGATGGTAGGCCCATAAAACATCCAATTTTCTTACATCCTCTAACAACAACAAAACATGCAACTATTCAGAAGCAATGCAAGAGGAAAACCTCATGATAAGCTTCAAGACTGTTACAACAAAGAAGGTAAGATTTGTTTTGTTTACACTAGTACTTTTAGCAAGACAACAGCTTAATTAGTATGTAAGGAATTGATACATTCACATACTTTTCCCTCTCCTTTTCTGAAGAAATCAGTTAAGACAGTCAAGTCTCTGATGTCTTTTCCTATCAGCTACAGCAAATTACCAAATCAAGGGAAAGCACCATACAGCTCAAGATCCAGACTTCCATTTCCAATGAACAATTTCAGCTGCAAACTGCTGACAGCATGCATGTCAAATATTAATTATGTTTTGGATTCATTTTCACATCAGAACTTAAAAAAGCCTAATTATTCGATTTCATAGGTGACGTAAATATTTTACCTGGTGTTACTTAGAAGGGTAAGGCAAAAGCAAGAAACAGAAGACAATTCTTCGTAAGTTCTACACACTACCACGTTCCTTTCTCCTTACACATTTCTCTTCATTTTAATCATCTGGAATTTTTAGTCATTATGCATTCAGTGCATTTTAACATTCTAATTTCCATCTTAAATTTTCTCACCACAATTCAAAGCCTATATAGACTGTGTCCCAAGTCTTTCAAAGCACAGCAGTAGCAATACTGAACAATAACCTATTCTGAAAAGTTAGTAGAAATGGAGAAGTCTCATGATTCAAAAATGCACAAACTTCTAATTTATGCTTAGTTTTGCTGACATATAGAAACTCAATACTTTAAGACTTTACAAATCCATCACTACAGTTAATCTTTCAAGACACTTACCCACAAGAGTAAAGAAGGAATATTACCTGTTCCTTTTAATTTTACTTCTACATAAAAGAAAACCCTGCTCAGGTATTACAAAAATTTCTTGGTTAAGTTTTGCAAGTTAAGATCCTGTCTAATGTCTTTGTTGTCACTGCAATACAAACAAGAACACTTCTTGTTCTACCTTATGTCATTTTTGGAAGCAGGAAAAAAATCTACAGTAATAGAAGAAATTCCCCTTCTCCTGGCACTCATTGATGACCCACACTAGGAGTTTTACTAACAGAGCTAAAAGGCAGAGACTTTGCAGAGCAGAAAGAAAGGATGGGAATTTTGGGTAGATGACTACTATCTCATATTTGCCAACAGGATTTGTGAAGACACAGACAGGGAAACAGAACGTATGGGAATGGCCTGCTGTCTTTAACAATTTAACAAAATTACTAACTAATTAACAAAATAAAATACACTGATCAGACAAATAGTTAAATGAACGTACCATAGTACTTAACATATTTTAAGAGGAAAGCGTTTGATTTCAGTTGCGATAGTGAATAAACAACTCCTATTTTACTTTGATCTTAGGTGGAAATAGTAACTTTTCCAATGAAAATGCATCTTTTTATATAAATTTTATTTTTAGGAAAGATAAAAATTTTTCACATTAGTTTAATACTGATCTCCCACACTGAGGCTTCAAATTAAACAGATTTTGTATACCAAGAGAGCAAATCTAACATTCTGTTTCATTACATTTTAATAGTATGTTGGGAGCAAAACACAAGGAGTCAAAACTAAATACAAAGCTGCAAACAAAACGTACATTTGAACTATGCCCTATATTCAAGAATAGTGTATTATAATTGTGAAATTAGTTTTCCCTAAACTTTAACTGTTGCTTACACTGAAAAAGCAAACATGTAAAAGATATTTTTCCGTCACTTCAGTCTCAACAAATAACAATTTTTATGTTTCCCTTATTAGTTAAAAAAAATGTAAAGAAGTAGCAACTTTGTAAACCCACAGTTTAGCTTTCCATCCATATGTATCTACCCACTTAAAAACAGAGATGACTTATAAAATCGCGTGTCCGGAGCCAGCCGGAAAGCCTGTCGTTTCCCTGGACGGCTGGTGCTAGGGCTGTAGCTCCTCATGGGCAAAGGAGACGAGCGACGAGAGCGCGGAGCGTCGAGGGGCGGCTCTGCCTTGGCACGGCACAAACGCGAAGCTGCTACAGCCAGTGCTGCTCCCCCGCACAGCAGAGACCGCGACAGCCCAGGGCACACCCGGGAACCGCCGTGCCCGCCAGAGACAGACCCCTGAGCACAGAGTTGCATCTGCGCATCTCTCGGCCCAGCGCCCTGCAGCGACCACCCATCCCATCCCGCCCCTCTTCCCGCCGTCTCTCCGCAGCGGAGCCCGAGCACGGCGGCAGGGCAGTGGCGGCGGTGCCCTTGCCCTGTCGCAGGCTCCAGGTCCTCCTCTGCCGCACGGCCCTGTCCGGGCGCGGCGGGAGCAGGGGGCGGCGGACATGAGCCCCTCGCCGCCAGGCCCCGGCCCAGTCCCGGGGGGTGGCGTAAGAGCCGAGGCTGCTCCCGCAGCGGGGACCGCGGATGCCCCGCGCCGCGCCCTGACCGTTCCGCCCGTGGCGCGGAGGCACCGGCCCGCGGCGCCGACCTACCCAAAAGCTCTCCACGAAGTACGCCATCCCTCCTCCTTCGCCGCCCCGGCAACACCGGCGAGCCCGGCCGTAGCCGCCGCAGCCGCCGAGACGCGCCGGAGGAAACGACCGCCGCCGCCGCGCTCCGCCCTTCCCGTGACGGAGCCGCCGCCGCTCCGCGCCCGCCCCGGCCCCGCGCCTGCGCCCCGCTACCGCCGCTCCTGCGCAGGCGCGGCTGCTCCGGCCGCCAGAAATACGGGGCGCCATCTCGGGAGTCTGGGTGCTTGAGCTGCCGTCCTGCAGCAACACGGACACAGCTGCAGAGGGCAGGCTCGGAAACCTCCAGTAAACCCCCCAAACGTATGGAGTAACCACTAGGGAACGACTACACTGAGTGCCACGGTGCACGGAGGAAACTCTCCTGTTTGTTGAAGGTTCTTCACTCAGAGGGTGGTTGGGTACTGGAACAGGCTCCCCGGGGAAGTGGTCACAGCACCAAGCGTGACAGAAGCTTTTGAACAATGCTCTCAGGCACATGATGTGATTCTTGGGGATGTCCTTTTCAGGGATAAGAGTTGGACTTGGTGATTCTTGTGGGTCCCTTTCAACTCAGAATGTTCTGTGATTCAGTGCAGTAGCTTCACAGCCAAGCCCTGTTCCAGCCAAGAAGGGTAAGGTCCTTCAAAGCAGGTGATGATGACTAGTCCTGCAGGGAATGTTACTGATAAAGCATAGTGTACCCTCCTAACTGCATCCTCCCACAGGATTTTACAGTTCCAGTCGCATGCTCCTAAGAGAGATGCACCTTATCTAAAGCCTAAGTGTGAGAAACTCTGATTCATCATCTTCAATGACAGTTCAGTTTCCAGACCCTTCATTGATTCGGTATAGATTATTAGCCAGCAGAGGTGATGCCAACTGTTTGTCCAGAACATGGAGCCACTCAAATGCCATCTGTGGCCAGTCTGTACCTGGAGTGTTGCTTTTCAGTGTGTACATATACTCTTTATGGCAGAGTCAGCACCACTGGGCTCTTTCTGGGACCCCAAAGAGTTCCTGTTCTACCTTAATGAGGTGATTCTTTGCCCAAAACAGCAGTTAGGTTGCATTATTGACTAAAATTAGAGGGCCAGGTCTAAGCAGCAATATGATGGGCTGCAGCTCATTGTCCATTGCAAACCTGCTTTATCCCAACTTGATCTATGGTTATGTCAGCACAAAGTTTTATCCAAGATACAAAAAGTAAGACGCTGATATTCTTTGCTGGGTGTTCAAGGGGCTCCCTTCCCCCTGACAGAAACCCTATTAGTTCTGGTTTGAAAAACCTCACCTGCCTTCAACTTAATACTGATGAGTTTTCTACTTTGTTTGGTAAGTTATTAGGTAAGGGACAGATCAGAACATTGAAGTCATCCTTAAAAGCCTGATGAATTCACCAACTTGTATCAAATTTATGCTAAGTAAAGACTTCTATGAAAGAAAATAGTTAGGAAAAATGTAGTTCAGAAGTTTACAGAGCTATAGAATTTCATCTACTTTTACCAAAGATACTTTCATGGAAGATGAACAATATCATTCTGAACTGCTATTACAGTTATTAGTGAATGCCTGTAGCTCTAGTCCATCACTTCCTGCAGTTCCAAGGTGAATTTAGAAGTTCCTTTCTTTCTAGCAGTGTTCTCCCAAAGTTCCAGTATATGCAAAGCTTGCTAAGTTGCCAAAGCCACAACAGAGTAAACTTCTGGATCCTTTCCAAATTTCTTTTAAAGTCCCAAGACTGTTAGATCTGGATCTCTCTCTTTTGATAATAGTAAGCATGTGTACTGTAATTTTAAACAGTAATAACATGCTGTTGGACTACATTTAAGGAAAACTCCTTTATGCATCTGTTTACTTGATATAAGCAAACAGTCTTCATTATGATCTGAAAAAAACATATGATCATAGTACATTTTGCAGTGTGTGCTGTGATCTGTAAGGATGTACACTAGGGCAAACAGTGAGATAAAAGCTGCATGATCAAAGCTGAAGCTTTCTATTCCATAGAAGATAGAAATATACCTTTCACAGGACCAGACACTATGATATGATGGAAGGAGAGTCAGGTTCCCTTTTACATTTCACAGAAAAGTTCCCATATTCCACATTTTCAAAGCTATGTAGTAATCCCTTATACACTGCTATATCTAGATGTGAAGCGACTGCTGCAGTTCTTCAGCATTCCAGCATGACAGAAAGATCAAACACATCCTCAGTTTTTTTCAACAACAGCTTTCCACATAAACTCGAATGAAATGCACAACTTTAGACATGAATATTAGGGTATATCCTCCAGCACAGGTGCATTTATGTAGAAAACCACTTTGACAGGGATGATGATCATGATCAATACTTATGTTCTAAATTTTTCTACATAGAGAAATCCAGAGTGGATTACTAAAAGCAGAGACAATGACCCTTATTCTGGAAGTCCCTGATATGCAAGTTAGTGAAGCCTTTGGAAATACTTTGCATTAGCATCATTTATAGTTCTTTAATCTTAACTTCTACTCTGGGTATTGGCTGCCAAGGACAGGATACTGGATTAGGTAGACTCTTTGTTTGTCCCAGTACAGTCATTCTTCTGTTTTCTTGGTGCAATGGAGGTGCACAGAAAGGAACATTATTTTGACAGCCATAAATACACAGTGAGTCCTGTATAATAAAACAAGAATTCCCATTGCATATTTTCAGTGTCTTTCATGAAAGATCCAAATAGTTCTCTGGACTGCTAGTTTTTTAATTTAAGAAAAGCAGTTCCTCTCCCATTTTTGTGATCAACATGAGTGCGAAGTTAAAGAGCCACAACAACAAACCTCACAAGAAGGATATGAAGAACTAAAGAGACTTCTTAGCTATACTAGTTAACTAGTTATATTTTATGAATGTAATCCTAATTTTTGAAAAAGTATTCTACATTTGGCATTAATGTGGGTTGCATACATGTGAAAGGAAGTATCTAGCTTAGAATTATCCTTTCAGAAAATCATTCCTGATTGTGCAGTTTGCTATCTGCATCTCAATTTATCCATCCTCCCATATTTCCAGCATCTTGTTTTATAAGTGTTAATATTAACTTATTTTCAACAAAAATAAAGATTGTATATTTTATTTTTACCTATAGTAACTAAGTTAATTTGCTCTATGTCTAAGCCATTTGAAAATGGAGTATGAACTCTAGGGAAGGTAACTGTATTCAATTATTAGCAAACTCTTAATACAAGAATGCACAACTAAATGTGCTAATTTTAAGATAAAAAAATAAATAACCAAATAATTGCCAAAAAATAAATTGGATTATTACATTATTTAATGTAATTATGTAGTGTCAAAGAGCCAGATGACATTTAGAGTTCTTAATAAATTAAAAAATAGTAAGAAACTGACTCAGGTAAAATAAATACTCTAACACTGCACTTAATTTTTAAAGAGGATCTGAAGAAGCAGATGGAGGTGGAACCATTTTATATACCATATTTCATTTACTAGATTGAGGATATGCCTTGAAACATGCATTTTCTTTCTTTATCATCTTTGCTAAAAGAACTACTCAAATTTTTTGCTAGCTAAACAGAAATTTTTATTGCCAACTGAGGTATGTTCAGAACATTACGAGCAGCAGGAGATATGAAAAGCCAGACTTGTTTACCACTGTGGTAGTGAAAAAAATATGATTAAAGGGAGAACTTTTAGCTAAATCCCTTCCAAGAGTCATTTAAATTTGATAAGTAATGCCAGGTTACTTTATAGGATTTAAAATAAACAGGATTATGTTCTAACCAAGCAACTGTACCTGAATACCTGCAGACATTACCCAGAAGTTTAATAATTCACTTGCTTATGACCTACACATCACCCTCATTACTAGACATTTATTGCAGCCTTTCTGTATAGAAAGTGTAATGAAATCCCATAGGCGCAAGGTTAGAGCTGGTAATGTTTAGGAAAAAAATCTGTCTAGGAGAAGGAGATTATAAAGTTAGCAGCAAATATAGCTAACATGAAATAATTTATTTAAAGGGAATTCTCCTAGACAATCTTAAGATTGCCTTAAGGCTAGGCTAGGCCCTTTTCTGAAATACATGCACAAACTGAAATTGTGGTCTGATGAGAGAACACTGATGAGATTATGGCCTACATTACACTTTTAGGTAGAATGGGTGTCTCTAATGTAATCTCTAAGTTTAAGATTAAACAGAAATTGTGTACACAGTTATAGCCATATTACAGTAAGAGATCAACTGAATTTCTTTCAACTCGGTGCAATACCTAGTTGAAATTATTTCAAAGTTAGGAATGTGTTCTGTTGAAGATTTGCAGCAAGTTTTAATGACAGTTTTCAACATCCCTGAATGATGTATTCCATTAGGCTGCACCATTTGACTCACTGTATACTTAAATGCACACTTCTCTTGATTTGGACACCAACCTTGATCGCATGCCATTCATTAATTCAATTACTTAAATTATGAACCCAACAGCATTGTTTCACAGTGAGTCATTTGGTGCTAATACTCCACCTTTTTTTACTCTTCTGCTCTGTTGCTACCGAAAGCATGTTTCATCAAATCAACCTTCAGCCAAATGGAAGGATCAGAAAGCACTAGTAAACATGAATAATGACAAAACACAATAGTTTAATGTTTGTAGATTCCATTTTGACTTCTTGTCACATTTCAGCCCTGCATGAAAAATTTTGGGAGATTTCTAATATACTCAGGAGGTGCAACACCATACTGAGTTTTTTAATCTATGTTCTGTGTAGGATGGGGAAATAACATGACCCTGAGATTATCTCAGTTAGAGCACGGTGCTAATTAACATGAAGTTGGGGCTTCAATCCCTGTAAGGGCCATTCACTTAAGAGTTGGACTTAATGATCCTTGTGGGTCCATTCCAACTCAGAATATTCTATGCAACATCATAAATTAGCAACATCATAAATTATTATGCTGTTATACTCTCAAGAATACATTCAGTGATTAGTTGAATTTATATTCTTGATGTATTGCATACATGCTTTAGGTACTTACCTGCAAGTATGTCAATCAATGAACTTGGAGCAGCTTATTTGCAGTTAACAAGTAAAAATAACCTAAAGAAAAAAAAAACAAAAACAAACACACCAAAACCTGAAGTGTTTAAAACATTCAAATTCAAAGAAAAATGAAGTGTTTAGAAGAGCAAGCTCTGACTGTACAATCATTTAGTACCAAAGTGCCCCACAATACCTAGTGCACAAGCAAGATGTTCAGATCACAAAGATCTTCTCCACTCTGGTTATAATATACAACAGAAAAGGTAATTGTGGTAGAAGGATTTGAACCTAAACTATTAACATTATGTGGTACCTCAGGAAAGCACTCCTGTACAGCTTAGTATAAGAATAGATGGTGCTTGTGTCCTTAATAAACCACAGGCAGCTTGTAAGTATTACTGTACTAACAAAAAGAAGTGCAAATTCTTGGGATTGAGTTTATGCAAGACAGTAAATGAAAAAAATGAAAGAAAAAGGGATTGGTCTGGACAGGTATTTTAGCTGTCTAGGTAAGAAGCAGCTATTGAAATATTGTGAAAGAGGTAAAATGATTTGATTATATAGGCCCTTAATTAGGATTGCACATTAAAAATCAGAATGTCAGTATGAACAGGATGGTAAGTGAATGGCTTGCATTTGGGCAAAAGTAATACTATGTGAAATTGACTCTTACCTTTGGTTCTTCACATCCATAGATTGACATACTAGCACATACTAATGGCAGCCAGTTTTAGCAACTGGAAGAAACATGTGAACTTCAGTGTCCTTATCACCTCGATAAAACTCTTAAAGCCTAATTGCTTCTGAAGATGTGCAGACCTGTATTAGTAATGATTTAGAAGGCCTCCTGTCTCCACACACAGAAGACACTGAGGTTTGGGCTTTATTTTTTTGAGAAATAAAAGTAGCCAAGATGCCTATGCTTGTTAATTAGAAAAACGAAACTCTGAGTTGTTACATCAGGTGATTATTTGCGTTAAACACTGCCCTTTTATGGACTGAGAAAGAGCTACTTGCATGAGTGAATTGCTTGCAACACAATGAGAGCTGTGGTCTGAGGTTCCATCTAGCTTCCATCTGTTTTTGGCCCAACGTTGAAAAGAGTTTTGGTGTGCAAGGCCTTTGATAAGGAGGATGGAGATAAGCAAAACTAAAATTAGCTACATATTCCTATGGCAGAGTACTGGAGAAAGTGATGCAACTATCTTGCTGCTTTATGTTATGGTATGTAAAGAATTTTAAAAAATGAATACTTGAATTCTTAGTTTGTCATGTGATTCATCTGATCTTCAAAAGCTAGAAGGAAAAGGTGCATATATATATACATACATGGTTCCAAAATGTTTATTTGAGCATGTACATTCCACAATGAAAAATGTATATGCAAAACAATGACCATCAATACATTAAGGAGAAAATAAACCCCACCATGTAAAATGATTCAAACTTTTCTTTTGAGATAATGATTATATTACAAAAGAAGACACAAAGATGCTTTGTGTTAAGATGTGGTTTTAGAAAGAAAAATACCATCTTAAAATTTAGCTATGAAACAGTTTTACACTTTTTTGGAGGGAGTTATTGTTTTAGTGTTAAAGGAAAATCCCTCTTTTTTTTTATGGTATCATTCACAATGTTTTGAGTTTTAAAACTACAAAACCCTTCCATTTCTATATCTGTAAGTTACTGAATCCTCTCAACAAGTCAACAAAAATGCAAAGCTGAAAGATAGCTTGAGAAAACTGTAAATTAAATATACCCTACCCTGTTAGGACATTCCCTGAGAGAATTTCAAGGTAAAAGGAATGGTAAATTAACATTGCTTCTCATTGTGTCCTTTACCACAGAGGTTAACCACTGGAAGTACAAAGAGGAATAATAGAAAATTTTAAAAAAATTGGTATGTTATAGTAACACTGTAGCAGTTATGCATCCAAGTTAACCTGTATGCTGTAAACATGGGAAGATTTTAAGTTCCCCTGTATATTTAATACAGGAAATTTATGAACACCCACTAAGCCAAGGGGCAATAAGAAAAGGAAAAATGGGTAAAACTCTCAGTATAACAGTTCAACTTGTTTTATTTCCACTTTTTTATTATACACTTATTATTTATTATATATTTGCACTTCTAAATTATACACTAAGATTTGGAAAAATAATATTCATACCTGAAGCTACATCTATCTATATATATGTGCATATATATATATTTTTATATATATATATATATAAAAGTATATATAAAGCTCAATTTTCATTTTTTCAATTCAAATTGAAGCCTGGCAAACAAAGGACTGATGTCACAACAACCCCCTGAAAAACTGTGATTCAAAAATAATTCCTTATATGCCATCACTTACACACATTAGTGTATGTACAACATAATTGCATCTGTTTTCCTTAAATTGAACTGATTATTGGAAGCAACCTAATTTTAGGTCTCACTGTGCAGATTAACATTTGGTTGTCTTTTGGGAGGTTTCAATAGTCTATACTGCTTATTTTGTGGGAAACAAGGGTAAATGCCTGTGAAAGATCATTCCTTTATGTAAACAGTATGTTTCATTCTGGGATAATAAAAGCTACCAACAACTACTCTGTGAGCATTTTACACATACAATGTTCCTACTGAAATGCTTTTTTATTCAAGTACAACTTTAAATTAGGTGTTTATTTTTTATCTTTTTTTTTTTTTATTAATAACATGATATACAGTGCAAGTTCGATCCTCGGCACTGTTCCAATCTGACCACAAACTTTGCAGTAATATTCAGTTCGCTTACTCAAAATGCTAGTACTTACTCATCTCTCATTTGTAAATACAGATAGTAAATACAGGTAGTCAAAATTAGAGGCCACATCTTGGACGTGGCTCTGAGCTGGTAGTAGAAGACTTGAACTAAACTGCTGACTGACAGCAGGATATTCTATCACACAGGTACCCCAGAACATAAGGGGAGTGGGGATGGCTATTTGAAAGAAAACAGAACTTCCCCCCATCCCCTCCCACACAGCCATCAGGAACTGATATCTCTGCTGATCAACTTGGTCTCTATACTGCTGTTCCATGGCCTTCTCCTGTTTCTGGAGGCAGAAATCTAAGTCCTTTGTTAATCAGAGTTTAAGCCAAGTATGCAGCAATTAGTTTCTACTTTAAATTTTATTACAGTAAGTAGTTTTATCAATGCATTTAATTGAACTTAATCATTACACTATAGAAACAATTTGTGCCAGACATGTGTAATAGTTTAAGTTATCTAAATGCTATTGACCAGCTTTTAAATATTTGAACATGAAATGTTCAAATCAACATGAGTGGACTGAATGAAACTTTTGCTTTTATATTTTCATTTTAGAGACTCTGGTATCAGGAAGTTCTGGAAGGCACGCTCTTTAAATAGTTTGTATTATCATGATTCCATGAAAGCTAGATAAAATTAGACTAAGACCAGCATAAATTTTGGTTCAAGGTCTTGAATAGCTTGATTTTATTTCTCGTTTACTCATTTTTTTATGATTCACATTACTGCTAGAACAAGGAATGAAAACAAATTTTTTTCCCTTTTCGGTTTGGAAACTTAGCAAGTAGCAACTGTTTCAAAAAAAGTAGTCAATGTAACATTTCTCAATAGTATAGTAGTTAGCAGGTATCATCCAAGAGGCTCTAATTTCAAGTCACCTCCACCTCCTTTTTTCTACATTCATCTGCCCTCAAGCAGCATGAAGCATCTAAACTAAACTAATCTAAACTTATCCAAAGATTATTTTCTTTCATATAAAATGAAAATCCTTATTCCATAAACTCTAGTACTTACATGTGTGGATCAGAAGAGTGCACTACCAGGTCAGGCAAAACATAATTGAACAATAAATTTAATCATTCATTAAAAATTGGAATGCAACATCTATATTTAAACAACTTTATTAACATAGTCAAGCAGTGATTAACATTCACATCTATTATGTCACATCATACAAATGTAAATACAAAATTACTACAGTACAATATATATTCTCTGCATGATCCAAAATATTTGGTGGCCCCAAAAACTCTTTAAAATTCAGCAGCTTATCAAAAATTAAAACCATATTCTATTTAAAATGAAGTTCTCTTAGCACATAGGCAGACTTCAAGAAATATCACTCAATTTAGTACAGTTTGAGAGGTTGCAGGAGGATATGTTTGAAGGAAACATTCCAACATTGTGGCAGATACAGAAACATCAGATTTAAAGCTTTCAAGCAAAACTTATACAACCTAAGTTGTCAGCAGAAAGATCCAGTCATCTTTCATTTAAAACTATATTGTGTACTTCATCCAATTCAAAATTTTAGAAGTGTCTAGTATTATTAAATCAGACAATGTACAACATAATTACCTCTCTCTTTCCATGAAAAATAATACACTGCAGATTTCACTAGCCAAATAAACCTCCTCATACCAAACTCTTTTTTTCTCATTGCTGTCCTCACAAAAAACACCCAAGCCTTCTTATTTAGTTGCCCATGCAAAGTAAGGAAATAGATACCTAAACCAAAACTAGTACAATAGAACCAGTTTATAGAAAAAAATATACTATACTGTAAGTGTTGAATTCTTTGAGATGTGGATTTGGCTTACTTAAAGCATACTGTCACACCACACAGGGATTTATCTTATAGAGCCATTTCAAACTTCCCTCATGTAAGTACATTCAAATGAGTGACTATCACTATTTTAGCAGAATATACAAGGCAAGCAAAGAAGAGTACTTGCCTCAATTCCCCATTTAAAATAATAAACTAAAACTGGCTTGCTCCAACCATTAAGTGCAAAGAGCAAGCATCAGTGGCAGACAAACCCCAGTTTCTATTGGAGAAGAATACCTAGAAGACTGATGGATGCAAGTCATCCTGGAGAATGCATAGGTGAGTGAAATACACAGCTACTGATCAAACCTTATTTATTCAACGTGAGGTTATGTAATATATAGCAAATATGTGTGCAAACTACATCAGCATCTATCTGAGAGAGGTGCAGGATGTTTTGCCATTTCGCTGTAGAACTTAACCTTTATCTAAGATAAAAAGTCACTCTTTAGACCCTATATAAAAGCTTTATGCATCTATCATCCTCAGGAAAGAGATAGTATGGAAGCGGTTAGTGTTATTTCTTTCCTTGACAAAATCTGAAACAAAAGATTTCCAATTTAATGTTGCATTTAAAGCATTTTTTAAAGAAATATTTCAGTTGTTTGAATATGGATGCATTCTCCTCAAGGGAAGAATGTTTTTGCACCTTGTCTGTTAATACATTCAATATGAATAATATAAGTGAAGCAAAAGTAATTATTGTTCCACAGTAGAAGGTTAATTTAGAATAAGTTTAAGACAAGAGGAGCTGCCTAAATGAAATACGTAAACTGATAAAATTATGACACATTTTCATTAGCATGTGTTCTGAACAAAAAGGGTACAAGAGTATTCACCTGAGATAAAGCTAGTATTTGAATATTTCTAAGTAGCAATGAGTTTTACTTAAGGAAAGCAACTTGAACTTTTAAAATATACATTTTACTATTATACAATATATGCAGTTTAAGTAATTAAAATTGATGCTAACATAAAACTTCTAAGGAAAAAATCACAGTGTATCAATATTGTTAATTACAAAATTTATGCTACTTCATAACTTTTAAAAATTATAATGATTACAAATTTTAACCCATTCTTCTAAAAGTGACCTTTTGAGTACAAGCTTCAAGGAGCAGTAAACCAAAGCGTAAGAATTAGCTTCTTAAAATTTAAATATATACATATTCACTGATTTAGAAAATAATCAAGCTTTGGGAAAAAAATACAAAATTGATTCTTTTTGCTTGCACTGGTTAAAATAATGAACTAGTCTAATTTTTTCCCTAAATAAAATGAGTGGTTTCCTGAACATGTTATGAAAAAAACTTAATACTGAACTTCATTTAAGACTAATTTAACAGCAATTTAGAACTGCCAAAAAGATGCATTTATAAGGATTTTAAATACACTTTCTGTTACCAACTTAGGTTGATCAGCAGCTTTTGTTCACTCAGAATCCTTCAAAAAGGGAAACTCAAAACAGGAAAAAGGCATATATAAAAACAGTAAACACTGACCTCCTGAGGTTCCTACAACAAAAATATTCAAGTAGAAAATCTACACCATTACTTAGCAGTGGCTATTTCTGTAGTTTAGCACACTAACAGCACTTTTTTCAGTGTGTAAGGAGCAAATGAAGTAAGCCGTGCTTTTAGCATGCCAAGAGGCAGAAACACTGGAATGTAACAAAGACAAACTCACAATTCTACCAGTATAAACATTCAGTCAACATTCAAGAACTGTCAATACTACATCACAAGAATTAAGATGCTTTTTATATATCCCATGATGCAATAATTCAATTTTAAATATTAATGGTGTTTCAGAACTTTTCTTATCTCACATTACACCCTAAATGGCTTCTGCAAGTCTTTGCACTTTATTATGCATTAGGAATATGGTTTATTTGCTTTAAAATATACCACAAGAACTTACTGATACAAAAGACTATTTTGTCAGTACTGTTTATTTCTGCCCTAATTAATTATTTTCCTTGCTGTAATACCACATCAGTTCACATCTGTACACATACCTATTAAAACACATATGCACAAAAGTGGCATCCTAAGCTAATCCAAGGTGAGGTGGAGTGGTTTTATTTGGTTAAAGGGGCTTTCTGAAATTTAAGAAGTTTAGTTAAACCCAGATTCTAACTGTTATGCTACCATATTATTTGGGTAGGTTTTCTATTCTACAAACTTTTTAACGTCATTTCTCTGAAACTCTTCCTTAAAAGTTCAAACACACTCAACATTAAAGCAAATTTGGGTCTAAAATAATATCCCACCTTGCTAAAGGCTGGGGTTTTTTTTCCCTTTTAAAATTTGATTTTGAAGTGTTTTTCAGTGGCTATTAACTAATTTACTTCAGAGTTATTAGCTGAGAAGGAATTTTGTGTTTGCTACCAAAGTAATGTAATTTGAAAGCAAGTTATCACATGCAGTTTTGACCAAATTGAATAAATACCATGTACTGGCGTTATCGAATGTATTTCATACAGTACATATCCAAACTATTCTTCAGGCATAATCCATTAAAATTTGCAAAGCCAAAAAAAAAGTGTGGGAGGGGGACATAAAACATGCATGTGATCATGCATTAAAAAAACAATCTAAGCTGTTCAAACAGCATTTTTAAGTTCACACTCATACAGCTCAAACTTCAGTGCAATGGCTAAATCATTCAACAGTCAAAGAACAGAACCATGCAAAGAAGAGCAAGTTCTTAAAAAAAAGAAACAAATCAACCAACCAAAAAACAACCAAAAAACTCCCAACAAAACAAAAAAAACAACAACCCCCCAAACATAAAAAGCCAAAACAAACAAACAAACCCCCCAAAAAAACCCAACAAAAACCAAAACAAAACCAAAACAAAAAAAAAAAAGGAAAAGGAAAGAAAAGGGGGGGGAAAAAACCAAAAACCAACCAACCAAACAAGCAAACCCCAAAACCAAAGACTGTTATCCAGTATCAATTCTGCAATGCAAAGGTGAGAAACTAAATCTACAAAAAGGCTGTTATGGCTTAATTTTGTTTTGCAGATTAATAATGCAGCACTTGAAAAATGGAAAGGTGTGGCTTCACCTCTGACCAGCAGAGTTAAAAATCTCTCCATTTTCCTTTATCATCATGGGATACTCTTTAGGCAATCTAAATTATTAAAGACTTGCCACTTTCAGATGGACACAAGATCAAGTGTACCAGTTAGGATTTCACATTCACAGTACATAAGAAAATACACATGGAAGGAAAAGTAAAGGGTTAACTTAACAAGGATTTATTCACAGGAATACATGTAAGTAGAGAAAAAAAAACACAACAGAAAAGCTAAACAAATGAAATGAAGAGGATCCAAACCAACTTTCACTCTCTAGCTTTAAACTTGCACCCTTGTGCATTTAACTATATCACAAAGGGCCACCAACATGCGCCGATACAGTGTAGATACCCTGCATTACATCAACTGAAACATCTCTTTAAGATCATGCTTTGAACAAAAAGAAAGTGTAGAAGGTAATACGTTGAGTGGGAATAAACACAAATGTAGCAATCTTGTCATCAACTTCTACAATTGTCTTTACGTGCCAACTAACATTTATGCAGCCTTTAACGGGTCTTACCATCATTTTAGAGATTCTGATAAAATCACTAGGATATAACCATGCAGAAAGCACATCACACTGACAGCACAGAGGCAAATATTTTGCACAGCTATATCAGCTTTCCACATTGTGCAGGTTACACACAATACAATATCAATCTTATTCTTAACAGATCCTAAAAAGGTATTTCAAGGCCTAATTTAACGTTAACTACAGTACTTTATATCTATATTCTTAATAAAAATAAATTCCACAGAATCTTAAAAAGGAATTTTAAATGCAGGGCTATATTGAATTGGTAAACTGCAACACAAAACTGGCGCAACATAGGTAAATGTATACCAATTTCACTCTATGTGATGCAAGCATGCTACTTTCCCACTAATTAAAATTACTTCTGATCACTATGAGCCAGAACGCATGCCTGAACCTTAAACTGCAAGTTAAGAATAATGCCTTACTCTAGAAATTAAAGCTAAAAACGTACAATAATAAAATCATATCCACTACCTTGGTTGTTTTCCTTAATGTAAAAATTAAGATGTCAATCTTTCCTTTGCAGTGTCCTTCCCCTTACCCCAAAACATGAAAGGAGTGACTTATTTGGCAGCTTGCAGTTGCTTCATTTTGTCCAAGTTAACCTTTATTATTTTACGATGGGGTTTTTATGCTGTACACTGCAAGTGCCTGTTCCTAATACAGGCACAAGCTGCATTTTAACTGTACTAACTTCGTTTGTGTAGTTCATTAACATGCAAATACCTAGTAATCCCCTCAAGCAGGATGAAATAATGTAGTAAACCCTTACTTAAAAAAACAGAAAACAAAAAAGAAAGCCTTTTACTGTTTGTGACCCCCATTCTTAGGTTTCCTTTATTGTGCGCAAAATATTTTTCCTCTTTACGTATCCCTATGTTCAATTATATGGTTACTTATTTTGGTACAAATCCCCACAATATTCCAGAATGTGCTGTTTTGTGACTAGATTCTTTTTTTTTTCTTCTTCACATCCAGTGCAGAGGTGTAATAGGAGACAGATTTCCACCCACAAAGGCTCCAGATGTTAAAACATTTCCCAACATCGACTTAATACAGTGACGGCAACACCTCCCTCCCGCCCCTCCCAGTAGGGTTGGGATTGTACTGTATTCCCTACTGGTTTACCCTTCCCCCCAGTAAAGGGTAACATTTTCCCTGGGTGCAGAGGCTCCCTCACAGTCTCCCAGACTGAAGGACCTGTAAAAGGAAAAGATAAAGGTATAATTAAATCTTACCTTGACCCTTTGACAGACAAGGTGCATAAACAAAGGGCCTTTTTCAAGCAGTAAGCACCAACTGTTAACTTAAAAATTAATTTATGCCTGGATTTTCCTTTTTAAGCCTGTTAAGAAAGCAGCCCATTTATGTAAGATAAATTATTATTCATGAAACAACGATGTATGCTTTTAAGCTACATTGACAGTTCCACTACTGTGCTAAACTTAGATTTACGATAAAAGCAGTCCTATATATTTTAACCAGCCTTTCCATTTTTTAGCAAAAAATTATGAGGTAGTTATGACACTGAGAAAGTATATTACACATATCTGCTACTGATCTAACAGCTTCCTTTTTAGGTGGATTAAACAAGATAGTTTCTCAGTTCAAACTGAGAATAATGGATTTTATCACTTCAGCTTCCTCTTCAATAGGAGGAGAAGACACCCTTATATTAGAACTAAAACACCCTCACTGATAATAAATATATAAATGTTTGAAATTGTTTTATTTTTAATCCATTGTTTGGATCAAACATGTAATTCAAACAGGATTTCTTATATCAGTGACTGAAAAAGCTTAGGCTGACTTCTAAATAGTTATCCATTCCAAAAATAAAACAACTGCATGACTCACCCCCATAATTTCAGTGCAAAAATTCTACTAGAAGTATCAAATTCATATAAAGACTAAACAAATCAACTTAATTCACCCTCTTTTTTTGGGTAATATAATAATCTCTTCACAGTATCACACTACTTTACACATGGGAAATTTGCTTAATACGTCATGCACAGACAGCATACAAAGCATGGTGGAACAATAATACAGCTATTCTAAAATGCACTTTCACTGCTCTTTGTTGAAATTGAATCATTCTCTACACAGAACTGCCTAACAATTCTGAATTGGTGCACAAAACCAGAACGTGGCAATGATAAAAACATTAGCCTCCCCAAAACATCATGCTTTACAGTTACAGTAATTACACATTAGCGTAACATTATTTATTCAGTGCAAAAAACATTTAGGATGTAGTTCGGAGTATACTGGACTTCTTATAGCTCCAGTGCGTTAACGAACTTGCTTTCTATCCTAGAGGAATATTCCTGCTTAGACTACATCTGCCACCTCTTAATTCATAACATGTAAGGGAGCCTGTGTCTTTAGTATGATAACTTCAGGATCATATTCATCACTTTGCTTATTAAACTTGAACCAGCACTTTGTTATACCTACACTTCCAACTTTATCTCGATAAACTAATGTGTGTATGACACACTCACTTTTTCTTTCTCTCTCTGTAACAATAAAAAAAGTCAGCTGCTTTTGCTACAGCCTCCATCACTTAGGTAAGCTATCATACCTTCTTTTTCCCTCTATATAGGAAGGAAAGATATCTCCTCCCATGTGACTGAACAATTCTAGACTGATGAATTAATTATATTTCATATAATGCACACAGGGAGGAAGTATGTTATACAGATCTGTTTACCGAGCAAGATTTCTGTGCTTACCTCTAATTATGGGACTGCAGCTACAGTGCATGAGGTTAAACTCCATAGTAAGCTGCAAGGCGCTCTTTTAAGGGAAGAGGAAACTGGTCAGAGAAACGCCTCCAATTCTCATCCCCAACTTGATTTTTAAATCCATGAAGAATCTACAAATGAGAGGGGAGAAGTCAAGATAAGCACTAAACAGAGTATATATTATTTACTAGCCTCATATGCAGTAAGCCACAAACTGCTGAGTTGTACATCTGGCAATCTGAATTCCCTGATTTCATACTGAAATGCTATTAAGAAACAAAGGAAGTATTGTCTTTCTTAACGTGTTTTTTCTTTTAAAGGTGACATATAGAATATAGCTACCCCCACAAACTAGTATGTGTATACATATTTATATGTATTTTAATGGGTAACCTAGAGCTAGGCCATTTCAGAATGTCTATTTATATTTTTTTCAATTCATCATTCATTCATTCATTCAGTCAGGCAGTCAGTCAGTCACTCAATTGACACAGATCACACATGTTAAGACTACTGTGTTCGCATTTCTTTTTCAAATGTGTAGGATGTTATGGAAAGAAAGCTGAGCCAAAACCACGACCAACATTTGACAGAATGAATATCTGTCCGTTTCTAGCACAAAAATAAAACCTGTGAGAGCTCTGTTTATTGCATGGAACCTGTAAGACAACTGTCACTAAAAAGGAAGCTCTTGAAATCTTTTTTGTTTTGCAAGTACCGGAATCCACACTCAATGCTAATCAAAAGCCAGTGAAAGAGGAAAAACAATAACCTACAGGTTTCAGTCTGGACCTTCTGATGTAATAAATTATCTGAAAACCAATAAATTAAATTATACTATCAGAAAGGTCTTAGTATGTTAGCTCTTAAAACAACAAGTAAAAGGTGAATATTAGAAAGGACAAAAGCAGATGAAATTGCTTTTCCTCATAGAAAATTATGCAAAGAGAACCTAAAGTTTTGGTTTTCTTTTTTACATTCAGTGAAACTGAGTTGTGGAACAGTCTGTCCTGAACACATTCTCACAAAAATGGCAATGTCAAAGTTATGTGCTAATGACACTACAGTGCCACCAGTTAACTTACTGCTTTTCTCCCTTCCACAAGCAGGTTCACCTCTCCTTCCTAACCCAAAGAGTCACATTAGCCAGCTGTCTAGCAACTACTGAAAATCTAAGAATGCTCAGGCATGACAAAAGGTTATGTGTTAGATTTCAACACTGGCAGCTCATCTATCCATGCCCTTGAAAGTGGTATTTTTCTCCCAGTTCTGGTGGTAAAGAATAAAACAAAAAAAGAAACACTGGACAATCCAGTTTCTTTCCACTCTTCCTGAAACTCATAATTATTGCTGGAAAAACATCTAACTGGACTACAGCACTCATGTATTCATGAAGAAGTAAACTAAAACCCCTGCATGCCATGACTGAAGAAAGCTTTGTCTCCTTTCCTGCAAGGCAAAAAGCACAAAAATACACTAAAATTGCTTGCTTTAAAAAGCAAAGATGTCCTTATGCCAAGTGATCAAGAACCATTGTGTCTAGTTTGAATGCCGTGGGTGCTACATGGACAACTTGGAAAGAATCTAAAAAAGAGGAGCCTAACTTACTGAAGCAAGTATTTGATGCTGAAGGACTGGTACAGAAACACACACTGAGACTGCTTTGGGCAGTCATCATAGGCTGTATCCTGGACTTCTTTTCACTTGCATTTGATGTTTCCTTCTGCTGATGCATTTTCTAGATTTAACGTTCCTTGGAAGGAGACCAGTTATCTGAGAGGCTAACTAAGACAGTCAGATTTCTGTCTTTGCTCTTAAAGATGGGATAGAAAAGTTCTATCTTCTGTTTTCATGCTCACACATGGCATTAGTCAAAGAAGAAGTGCCAATACTGGCCCATGATCCTAGTAAGTTCTTAGGAATATGCTCCATTTTTTCTATAAGAGCATCATGAACTTTTCTTTTGACATAGAACTTCCTAAAAATCGAGATTTTACTTTAGAACTTGTGAAGGGAACCGCTTTTTTTCTCTCTCTCTTTTTTAATGTAAGACATTAGTGCAAAAATACAATATATCACATTCTGGTTGTGCTGGTGGTTTTGTAGTTTAGTGGGGGGGGCTTCTGCTTTGTTTTTTGGTCCATTGGTTAGGGTTTTTTTTCTTTTAAATACAAACTCTGTTGACACTTTGTCAATAGGGATGCATTCTTGGGTATAACTGTATGTTTGTTTCTTAACCCAAGAGGGATTCTGAGGATTAAGCAATCCCTTATTTTCAGCAAAAGTAAGAGAATCAAACAGAATACCACTGGGTTATTTTTAATTCAAAATTTTCTAGATATTTCTTCAAAATAAAGTAGGCATCTTTGTGACAAAAAGTAGTCTTGAACCACAAAAATCTCATTTTATAGAAAAAAAAATCTTAAATGTAGTACAGAACCCCCTGTTCTTTCAAGCGCAGGACATTATCCCTTCAAATAATATCTCAAGTGAACTTCTTAATTTTAAAAAAGTTAGGAATAACCCAAATGCATATAAGAAAATACAGGTTAAAAAAATATAAGAAAATAAAGGTTAAAAAAACCAGTCAGGATTTTCATGTCATTTTGTTTGAAAATTTATGACCTTGCATGACCACAGGGGGCAGAGAAACCTCCATGACCAACACAGTAAATGCTACAGAAAGAAACAAACAAACCAGAGGATGCAGAATAACCACCATTAGAATATACTGTTATATTAGAAGCCTTACCTTACAGAACATGTCTCGAAGATCATCTTTTGGACTAATCCATGATGCAACAGCATCACAAAAAAAAATAAAGTCCTATAAGATTAAACAATCACATAGGTTAGAAACCTCAATTTATACATCTGAAAACAATATTTGATGTTTTAATTTGATGTTTGCTGAGTGTCTTAATTAAGATGATAGTTAAAAAACCTCAACTCTCCCCTCCTACATCACACTAGCCTAACATTATTTCTTTCAGTACACATACAAATGCAAGAACCAATCACCTTAGTAAGAAAGAACAAATGCGCAGTCACACATTTCCAGTTGGGGAAAAAAGGTATCATATTGCTTTAAGCAGGGATAGAAGTTTTATTTTGGGACACACAGAGTATTTATCATACAGGTTCAAAACTAAAGCCACCTCAAAATCCCTATGCTTAGTTCATCTGCTGTCATGCATTACCTCCTCCTACACCAACAAAACACCAGTCTTTAATAATTATGTTAACAATGCATATGATTTCAGTAGGAACTGAGGATAATGACTACAGAGGAGAGATGAGCTAATCAAATGTGTCCTGAATTATTCCCTCCCCTTAAGCTACATGAATGAACAAACAGACAGCAGAAGAGTGAAATGTTAAGTACAGAATAAGGCATCAGTGAAATGAACTGAAAATTACAAAACAAGATAGAGACTCAATTCTTGTGTTTCAGGAAGAAGAACTCCAGGCAGAGGAGAGGGAAAAATCAGTTCCATTTTCCTCTTAGAAAATATTACATTGATACAGCTTTACTGTAGAGGTGTAGAGACAAAATATCAAGTCATATTGTGTTCTTTAGTTGTACCATTTAATTTAAACATATGCATGTTCATTGTCACATTGACTATTTAAGTAATCTATTCAAAGTTGAAACAGAATCTTCTCTACCCAAGTTTTAAGAATGGTTACTGTTTTTTTCTGTTTCTTCTTTTAAAAGCCTAGCTTGCCTCTGGAAAATAGGTTTCAAAGTGTCAACTTTCACCTTATATTTGCATACAGATCCTGACCACAACCTGACAGAAGTATCAAAATACACTTATTTTAATCAAAGTTCATTATTTATATATTCGCTGCAAGGAAAAGATAAAAACTGATTTTAACAATACTCTTGTCCTTTCCTTTTCAGATGATAATTACTGAAGCATCATGATACATATCATTCACAATATAAACATTTTCGCCTCCTTGACCTCAAAATAAAGCTACATCATGTACTGCAGGGAATCACATCAAGGTAAACCTTTTCATACTCCATATACAGCTTTCCTTAAATTTTAAATGGGTAAAGAAAAGAAGTTAGTATCTATTAGTGTATCTTACTTGGACTACTCCACTGGGGTTGACCGTAATCATGGTACATATCCCACGGAACGCTGAATCCTTTTCCTCGTTGTCTCTTATGTTTCTCAGAGAGGTGCACCTGACAATTTGGAGAGCAAAACTTAGCTAACTCTATTACTTTTCTTCAGTCAAGTCAGAACTAGATGACAGTATCTGATGGAATAAGTCACACTGATAAGATGATCTGAAACACAATTTTGAACACTTAAAAAAACACTTCTTGCACGTAGTTTTTACTAGCACAATTCCATTAGGTTTCACCTCCAGAATCTGGTTTTTCTGTTACACTATATACAGTTAGAAAGTGTGACCTGTATTCCATTAAATACAAAAGAAGCATGTATCTGAAATATTTATAGAAACTATCATTATTAGAAGCAGAACATAAAATACTATCACAGTATGAATTATGTCAGATACCACTTACAGAACAGTTATTTAACTTTTACAGCAGCAAGCAAGCTATTTTATACGTAACAAATCTATAAACATATATTCCTTAAAGCATTTCAAGCCTCAGACTGAATTTTAAATAATGCATTGTTTAAATTTTACAGTATTTGCATGCATTGTATTATCATTCTGGTGGATTTTAAAATGCTCTTTCATAGTCAAGCTTTAACACAGCAAGCATGTGACAATCTTATCCCATGCATAAATTAGTCATTAGCCACAACATAAAGAATACATGACGGTGCTACTAAAAACTCACAAACCTGATAGGACAAGATTAGTCACATGGTTGGCAATGATTAAGGATTGAGATTTTGTAACCAACTGAAAATATATCTAAAAGTGAGATAGAGAGAAGAAGGAAAGAAAGAAAGAGAGTGAAGAAAAATGAATTAAAAAAAAAAAGATTGAATAATACACACCAGGGTCTTATAAACTGCTGTAGCATGGGGGCCACCTCTTGAGGACAAACGTAACCAAGACGACCAATTGTTATTGCTAAGGTAACGCAATCACGGTTATACACCACCAAACGCCAACCAAGACATGAGCAAATGAGGGGGGAGGAGAAAAAATAAAGAAAAAACAACAAATAACTCAGAAACAGAAACCAACAGAATCTGTGTATGATAATAAACATAAGATTTCACCAGTGCTTGTTTATTACCACCCCCTAAATAAGAGGCAGCAACATATATGGTATACTCTCCAGGGTAAAAGAAAAATCAAAGAAGTAAATGAGAGAACACCAAAAACACAATTTTAAATCCAAAGGCCTTCTGATGTAAGCAGTCATTCTGCCCTCTTCAGAATAATCTTTTGCAGTAAATTTACCTACCATACATTCCAAAGTTTTTATTCAGATATACAATTACAGCTATTTTTGATAAGAAGAAATTAACCATTTTCAGTTTTTGTATCAAGTGTTCTAAACATTTTATTTTTTCTCAGGTTTTGAATTCAAGGTTTTCATAGATCCCATCTATCAGTAAAAATACATGCGTAAATACTTTAGCATGGAAAATATTGTGATTTGTCTGAAAACTCTAAACAGATGAAGCACTTCTCAAAGAGCACGAAATATTTATCTTCTTCATAATCTCATAGAGAATTTAATTAAAAATGGTTGCTAATTCACAGCAATTGACTGCAGAAAATGAATTCTTTAATCTCAGTATTTCTTCTGTTCACTAAAGGTTTCCTCATAGATGTATAAGAATCTGACTTCTGATATCACAGCATAAGGACACATGAAAAGCAAAATTGTTTCATCACGTGATTAGGTAGTTTGGTTCATTGTTCCGAGGGACAGACCAAAGAAAGTATCATCATGCAAATGTGTTTTAATGGTGTTTGCTCAACTCACAGAAGATTAATCTTTAGAAAAAGGAGAGGGTGGGGAATAATGTATCAGGATTACTGGAAGCAAAATACATGAATAATACTAAAATCCAGCAGATTTGTATGAAGCAGAGAAAGGAAACCTATGTTCAAGGGACATACTATGCAACACTCTAATTAACAGGCATTTGTGAACAGTTTCATGAAACATGCAATAAAGCAGATGATGCTTTCTCCAATAAAAGTTTGGTGTAGGATATACTAGTCTGAAACATATTAATTCCATGAAAGCAGTAGCTCCCTGTTAATATACCGTTTTGCCCTAATGTTACTCAATTTCCGTATGCAGTGTCTAAAATTTTTTGCTATCTTATAAAACTGCAGTTGCAGTACAAATGAAAATACAATTTTATCTGTAAATTCTTACAGCTACAGCCTGTGCAAGGAATAGTAATCTCTGTCAAACGGTGTTCTCATAATTGTTTTCATAATTAATTACATAGCAAGCTACAGCAAAGCCAGTAATTTTCTTGCATATATTAGTGGCACACAGTAAAATATCCCACAACAAACGAATAATAAGTACACCACACTCAACATTTATTTGCAGTTATCCATCCACATTTAAAGGAACTATTAAGAGAATAATAAATAAATAAATAAATAAATAAATACATGAAAGTTAAGTTTTTGGATGTTTCCAAAAATTCTCTTAGCAATGATGGAAGCAAACATTTAAGTATTGGATGCCTCTCAGTTCCAGGTATTACATATC